TTCTCAGAACTCTCTCAGCCCCGCCTACGTCACAAGGTGACTGCTGTGAGGAGAGGAAGAGAAGATGATTGTAAGCCACTTTGAGACTCCTTAAAGTAGAGAAAAATGGTATATAAAAACCAACTCTTCTTCTCCTAAAGGAAAGTTACCTCTGTTTGAATAGAGTTTTCTGTTGTACTGTAATTGTGGGCCATATGAGCATGCTGTTATTGTTAAAGCACCTATGGTAATCTAAAGTAGTAGGTCTTTAACTTAGATGTTGTAAAGCTTAGGGAGGGAATGCTTGGCAAACAAATCATATAATCTCTTGTGAAAAGAATCTAGGGCGGACTGGTTAGTAAGGAGCTGGATGACCTTGGGCTAATAGCGGTCTTTCAGCATAACCTACCTCTCAGGGTGACTGAAGATACTAAGGGGGAGGGCAGAACAATGTTGTAAGATGCTTTAGGTTCCCACTGGGGAGGAAAGCAGGGTATAAATACCCAAATAAACAAAGTGAAAACTTGCTGCATGTTTGTGAACCTTCTGTGCCTACGAAGTCGGCATCTTCTTAAATGAGCCGGAATTTCTTCCCGAAGAAGCGGTGGATGCATGGGGGTTCCATATGTAACCTGTCGTTTGTATGCAGATGCTACCACTTAATGATAAAATGTCCTTATTCATATCTACTTGTTACAGATTCCCCTTATTCGTATCTACTTGTTACAGATTCCATGTCTGTGCAGCGGTGCATCATGTCTGCTGTGTCGCTGTTGTCCCAACAGCAGGAACTCTACGGTGACCCGTCTTATATATGCCTTCCTGCTTCTCCTAAGTACTCTTGTTGCTTGCATCATGCTGGCACCAGGCATGGAAGAGCAGCTGAAAAAGGTAATGAACAGTTGTGTAATCAGTCGGTTCTCATTCACTTGCGGATGCTCTTATTTCTTTCTCTATCTTCTTTCATTGGTTTAAAATTGTATTACCCCTTCAGAACCATGCGGTTCTCATTTTGTGCTTTATGTATGGCATGGAGTAAAGGCAAAAGGAGAAGAGATGGTATTTCTGTTACCATGTAGCTGGTAAGAGACGAGGGACAAGCCGCCTCTTGGTCTGGGCTCATATTCCGGTGTTCTAGGCTAATGTCCAAGAGCAACACTCCAGGCTTAAGCTAATTATCAGTAATGTAGCTTTCACTGTTTTAAGGGAAGTGTTATGCTGGGTTGCAGTTGGCTTCTTCTGTAGTTCTGAATCAATTTGGTCAGTGTTTTATTGCCATAGTCTCTCAAGCCTTTAGAGCTCAGGTAGCCCCTTGGCTTACTGAGAGAGATGGGTAAGGAAAAGACAAGAGAGATGGCTAGAGTGACAGTGGAGGAAGACTCAGGACAAATCCAATAAGACTTGGGTGAAAGCTCATCTGAGGGTGTGGTCAGACAGCATGCTGGGAGCGGTTTAAATTGCTCCAGCCCTGATGCAGTCTTTTTGAACCTGGAAAATTGTGATCACACTCACCTCCTTGCTCCAGATCGCTGCGCAGCCACATCGCTCCCCGCCGTCCACACGCAGGAGCGTGCATCACTGTTGTTTTTTTCTCTCTCTCAGTTTGGGCATGCACACAGGCAGCCATCTGTAGAACTAAAATTTTCGCGCGTACGCAGAACAGCAATTTCCACTTCAACCCGACTGCTGTAACACTTCCCTTTAAACTTTAAAGGAACACTTCCCTTTAAACATTTACCCCGAAAATGGCCTCTGTGAGATCCCGAACTCGTCTAAAGGCTAAAACTAGACACCGTTTAAACATTGTTTTTAATAACGTGGTGGCGGACCTCCACCTATGCGCACACTGCCAACGCTTTTTTAAAAACGGCAGGCGAAAAGCAGACGCCTCGGGCAGCTTTGGAGCGGGGAGGGGGTTTAAATCAGAAGTGGCTCAACACTGGTGGAGCGATCAGACATTAGAAAAGTGCGGCTGGAACCAGAGAATCAGGAAAACACCACTTGGGGACCTGGTATCAAAATACCCCGGGTTTAAGCGGTTTTGAGCCGGAAAGCGACGGCTGGGGATGGGAGACAGATGTTGACTGTGTGATCGCACAGATAAAATCCGTTTCTGAGGCGGGCCGAAAGCGGACTAAACAGCCCGTCTGAATGCACCTCTGTGGTGGTGCCAGAGAAGCAACACTTTTCTGCCTCCATTGGGGTGGAGCTGGCCCTGGGTGTTCAGAGGCCTCTTGGGATCTGGCCTGCAGGTGGAGGTGGACTTCTCAGTGGTCTGCTTTGACCGTTTTGCTCAGCAGTTTGCAGATAAAATCTCTTGCCTCTGTTCTAGCTTGGAGTCTACATTAGCAGTGACAGGGTCAGATGGTGCCAGGGTGCCAACTTGTCCAGTTGTTTGAGATATTTTTCGGTTTATTCAGTGTGCGAATGTGGACAGAATCCTTGAACATTTGAGGCCTAGCACCTGCTTGTATGACCCTTGTCCTTCCTAGCTGCTTAAATCTACTTTGCTGTCAAGTGTTTCATGATAATGCATTATGAAAGAGTTCCGTGTTTTCAGTGTTCTAAAGTTTAGCTTAATCTCCAAATGTGTTGGCAGACTTAAGTATTGTGACTATAAGAGAGTTTCTGTCCAGATAGTTTCAAGTGAGTAGCTGTGTTGGTCTGCAGTAGGAGAACAAGATTCGAGTCCACTAGCACCTTAAAAACCAACAAGATTCCCAGGGTATAACCTTTCAGGAGTCAAAACTCCCTTGTCAGATATGACACATAATATCTGACGAAGGGAGCTTTGACTCTTACACTCTGGAAATCTTGTTGGTTCGTTACGGTGCTACTGGACTCGAATCTTGCTTTGACCAAATAATATGTTTTCTTTTGTTTACCACAAAATTTGTTTTCTGCCTTCAACTTTTTCCTACCTCTCAGATGGCAAAAATTTGAAATATATGTGCTATAGTAGCATAGGGTGTAACAGTTAGCAAGTATTGGGTATACTTCAGTTTTTGTTATAGAAAGTTAGGATAGTCCTTTTAAATCCCACAAATATGCCAAACAGTACAATTTTATATGCTGCCTAAGTTATAAATAATGTGTTTAATGTTGTTAAATCAGTAAAATAAGTCTCAGTTTCATAGGAAAGTAAGCACTGCATGTTTCATTCTTTTAGGTGCCTGGATTTTGTGATGATGGCCTTCACACTCGCCTGCCGCACATGAAGGGCTTTGTCCACTGCGAAGCTTTGGTTGGATACAGGGCAGTCTACCGCATCAGTTTTGCCATGGCCGTGTTTTTCTTCCTCTTCTCCCTGCTTATGGTACAAGTGAAAACAAGTAAAGATCCAAGAGCTGCTGTGCATAATGGGTATGTTGGAATGCAGGATTGGCCTCCTAGTCTCTGCTCTGCTTAGAATGCCCAAAACAGGAACTGTGGCTAGGCATAGAAAATGGATGGCCTAGAGCTACGAAGGAGTTCACCATTCACTTTTCTTAAACAAAGATTGTATCTTTCCTGTTACAGGGTTATTGACTACGTAAATGCGCCTCCCAGAGGTAGTATAAAATTATAGCTACTTCTTTCAAGTGTAGAAAAATCTTACATTGGGGTGCATTTATGTAGACGCTAGCCATGGACGTATGACAAAAGATTTCCAAACCCTAGAATAGGAAACTTCGGGTGGGGTGGGGGAAGAGAAATGCATATGAGTAATGTATGGTGCCTTTTCTGAAGGTGGATGGAGGTCATACTTAAAAAAACCCACATTTTTTGTTTTACTTAGCAAAGCATCTGTTCATCAGTCTTCTATACAGTTCTGCATTGAGACGGTGTGTGCTGGCCAGGGAAAGAAAACATTTCCAACATTTCCATATAAATAACACATTTGGATAGAAGGATATCTAAAATTGGTTAATGCCCATGCAGTACAGATTTTTATCCCATAGTCTGGTTAATCTTTCCTCACTATCATCAACCCAAACTGAGGATCTGTCTTGCATTCCCACAGCTTATATGCTAGGCCTGTAAACAACATGGCTGCATTAGTATGTGACATATAACTGCAGTATAGTAAAATTGACCACAGCTCTGGCCTGTTGCTGGACTGGAGGGCTTACCTCTTCCCCCCCCCCCTTCATGCAGAGAACTGTGGTTAATTTTCTGTGTGAGGAGGTGGGGGGAGGAGCAAGGTGTGCCCATGAGCCCAGCAGCAAGCTGGGTTTATGCGCACTTTGAAGTTATTAGGGTTGTCAGCTACCTGGAGAAGTTATTTACGTCCATTCCATGAAAAGCTTCAGCTGCCCGTTTACTCCTTGAGAAACAAGATATGTTTCTCAAGGACTGCTGGCAATGCTAGCAGTTATGTATGATATCTGAGTGTAGCCAGAGCTGCATGTGCCAGTACTGGAGTTCTTGCCATCATTTTCTAAGCGCTAGGATACAGAAAAGTGCTTCTCATTTACTGCCTTGCCCATTTTCTCATTAATACTACGATTATTTTTGTTGAAATAACTTGTAGATCCCTACCTGTGACTTGGAAACTATCAACTCTACGTAACAGCTGTCTAACATATTTTGTTTCTAGATAATTTGTGTACAATTGTGTGCATCTATTTTTACAACACTTTACAGAAAGGTTTGAGATCGTCTCACAAGAAGTCACTTTCATCAGAGCACAGAGCATGCATGCTTCAGGAAATAAAAACTTCATTAAGAAATTAGTGTTCTAAGAGGTGCCCTATTATGTTGTAATGAGGTGACCTAACTTGCTAAAAATGTCTTAGTGGGGAGAGGGGATATTGTGGCCTCTGGAGGTCAAACAAGTAGACCGGTCCGAGAGTCCTTCTGCTCCAAGCCTGAAGGTCACTCTTGGACCAGGATCAGGAGGGAAATCTCTCCTGGCAGACAGTAGCAGGAGGAAACATGTATGCATGAGTTTTGCTGCTCGAGTATTTTTATTAATAAAATATTTTGTGGACATAAGTTACTATAGGGGGAAAAAAGTCCACTCTTTTTTTTTTTTTAAACAGGTTTTGGTTCTTCAAGATAGCTGCAGTTGTTGGCATCATGGTTGGCGCATTCTACATTCCTGAGGGGCCTTTCACAAGAGGTATGCACTGTGGCTAAAGAAATAAATGTTTTTTTAAAAATCATAACTATGTTCAGGGCATTTTGTAGAAGACACAGAGTTGTGAAAACGGGGGGAGGGGGAACAGAAGTTCGTTTTCCCCCTCTGAGGACTTTGCACTTCTTTTCCATTGGAAAAAGTGAAAAAAGTGGACGCGCTGAGAAAAATTGCTATGAAATATTTTCTGTTTCGGAATGCCTTTTAAGATGAGGTTTTACTCACTCAGAATGTCTAGTGTGAAGATTACTGTGTAAGATAGGTCTACACATTAGAGGCTGATTCCTCTATGTTGTAATGTAGACATAGATATAATATATCTTGAAGCACATAAAGCTGACTAACTTTGCTCACAATTCGAGCGCTTTAAGAAGTGAAACTATAGAGTCAGCTGATCTTGTGTAGCACCCAGCCACATGGTGGGGCCAGTTTCCCTTGTGCCTTTGCTATCCCACATTTTTCTGAGAGGTAAAAGCAAGGAAGAAATTGGTTTTG